CCGCAGCGCTGGCGTGCGCGGCTCGTGTTTGTTACCGCCGCTTTGGCTCTCGTCCCGTCCCTGGCCGGCTGCCAGCCGTGTGGGTACAGTATGTACAGTGCGCGCCGAGCCAAGTTTGTCATCGCACAGGATTAATTTTTTCTCTAATCTGGCAAGGGTTAGGGAGGGGTGGGGGCAGCGGGCAGGGCGAGCTCTCCCAGCGCTCGAAAACAGCCGCGGCGGATTCCAGCGCTGTTATTTATTAAAGCAGGAGACCTTTGCACCTCTCCCCTCGCCTCCCCCCGGCCGGGATGGAGCTTGGCTCTGAGGGGTCGGCTTGTTTTCCCGGTCAGCTTGCCTCATACACAAGCTGATGATTGAATTGGGAGCGTGCCCCAAAGGAGATGGGTGTCGTTGTCTCCCCACCCCCCCCCCAGCACCAGTGCCCCCCTCTAAAGCTTGAAGGCAGTGAATATTATTTTTAATTGCAGTTTGCATTTCGAACTTACCTAAGCAAGTGTTTGGGGGAGAAACTTGATGATAAAGGTGCACTGCAGTTAATGGGCAGATTAGGGAGCACGTCCCCATTGCCCCTGTGCTGCAGACAGACCTCATCACCTGGCATGGGATCATGGCCATCACAGGTGCCACAGAGCTTTGGTTCTTAAAGAGCTGCATATGTCCTCAGTCATCCCAGTGATCCTATTTTGTCTTTTTGACCAAACTCTTCCCATCAAGGGTCTGAAGAAGCACTGACCTTCTCGAGCTGAAATGCTCCAGCACAGAAAGGCAGGAAACTGCAGGAACCCAAATGGACTGTTGCATGTTTTATTCTCATTGCTGTTGATCACTCTCCACACTCAACCTGCTGAAGCCCATGCCTTACCCTGTGCCCTAGGGTAAAGGAGAGGGGAGCAGGGTGGTCGTGCAGGGAGAGGGAGTGGGAAGGGGCCACTGCCATCCTTACATCTGTGTTGTCCTTGTGCTCTGAGCTTGTGGGGGTGTGCATCTCATGGAAATGCATTTGGTTTCTGGTGAGGGGAGGATGGCTAAGTGAATCCAACATGAGTAAATGTAATAATTCTCATCCTTATAAATGTCCAAGCCAGCCCTATGGGGGTTCTGTGGTGAGCGGTGTGAAGCGGGGATTATTTGGCACTCTTATCTCAGCAGCTTTCAGGTGCATGATAAATACTCTGCCAAATGTTTACATTTCAATATAGGCTTACCCTTAATGAAGTGCAAAGTGTTGGTGCATGCATGGCGTGGCTGCATTATCGCTGCCTGCTCCTAACTGGGATTTGTTTGCAAAAACTTTAAAGATTGCATTAAGAGAAGGACAGAAAAAACTCATTGCCAGGGAGAAGCGGGGGGATTTGGGGATTTACTCCTTCCCTGCTGCTTGCTTTGCCTTTGCTTCTGGTCCGAAATCTCTGCTGTGATGGAGATGGATGCTGTAACCACCCAGACTGCAAATGGGGACAAATGTGGGCAAGGCCATGTGTGCAGGCTGCTGCAACGCACGGGCAGTGCTGTGCCCTCCTGCAGCACCTGCACTGCCCGGGGGCTGCAGGGGGATGGAGGAGCAGCGCTGGGAGCTGCGAGGTGCTGGGAGCAGGATGTGGCCCCGACCCTGCTGCGATCCCATGGGTGCCATGGGGGACACCTGAGGGTGCTCGTCCTGCCAAGGTCTGGCACTACAGCCTCACTGCCCGCTGCACGTCTCTGATGAACATCAACTTTCCTTCCTCGCTGGTTATCTCCCGCTGAAGATGTTTGATCAGAGATGGAGGCGATAGCCCCTGGCCGCGCTCCTCCCTCCGTGCCCAGCATTGTTCGGTGGAAGGGAGCAGGAAGGGAAGCGCTGAAGGCTCAGCGGGGATTTTTCCCGGCCCCCCCCCCCCCCCCCCCCCCCCCCCCCCCCCCCCCCCCCTCCCCGCCTGGCCGCCGTCCCGCGTTCGGTCCCCGAGTGATGTCAGCGGCCTGCCGGCAGGTCTGGATGTTCTGCCAGCATTCCTGCGTTTATGATCATCCGCAGATGTGCATCCAAGAACACACTGTACCCACAGCAGAAATTAATGCAGGCTTGACTGCCGGCCAACCCGCACACACAGGAGAGAGGAAGAAAGAAAACAAAAACTGTTTAATGCTGTTTATAAATTATACACTGGCTGATGAAAAATACATTTCTCCCCCCTCTCCTCCCCAACCCCCCAATCCTTTCTGCCTCGGGAGTCTGAGCTGAGACCAGAAGAATATGGTTTGCTTTTTAGCTCCTGTTTTGGCTCCGTTCCTGGACCCGGCTGCTGATTCAGAGCCAGCTTATTTTTTCCCCCCTTACCTGATGAAATATATTTATTTTTCACCCGTCACCGCTTCTCCTCTCTCCCCGCTTTTTTGGCTGCTCTTTGTTATTTAAGGTGTTCTGCGCCGCATTATGCGGAGCGCGATGCCAGGACCCATTACAGCATAGTGCTCTCTGTAGCAAATAAATCTTACGCACATCTGTCTACATTAATACCTCTAAATATATGTGATCATCGCGGCGCAGCCCGTCGCCTTCCAGGTTCCTCGTCGTGCATGCTAGATGGGAAAGTTATGGAAGTTCAATGCAGGGCACTGTGCCGGAGCCCCCGGGGGGGGTCGGGCTGGGACCTCTCCCCATGGCTGGGAGCCATCCCCTGCCCCATCGCCGCGCCTGCCCGGCCCTCCCCGCGTCGCTCACAATCCATTTACATGGCTTTTGTGTTTTTTAATACTGCTAATGTTTATCATTTGCCCAACAGGCTTGACAGATTTTGTTTCCTGTAGAGCATCGCGGCTTTAAAGCCCCCTTGTTGCTAAGTAGCAGCCTCCCTGTACTGTAATGGGCTGATTTCGTATTCCGTTCAGCACTGTATCTTATTTTTGTATGCAAGACAAAGTGTTTTGATGGAGGACGATTGCAGAAGTGTCTGGAGGCTGTTTGGAGTTTTATGGGCTGTATAGTACACTGTGTGCTTTCTGAACAGAACACAGGCTGTTGAATTTTGGATTGGATTTGTCATTTTTTCCCCTCTGAGAGGAGGCTGTCAGATAGAACATTACTTTAAGGGTGGAGGAAAAGTGGAAATTATGTAATAACCTTTTTTATTGTTGCTAAGCTGAAATTATTATTATTATTTTTTTTAACCTGAAAATATCCCCTTCTCCCCATTACTTCTCCCTGTGTCCCCAGAGCAGCGCTCCGATCAGCAGATGAAATTGGGGTGGTGATGCTGGTGGATGCTCTCCCCCACCTTTGGTGCATCCATCCCATCCCCTTATTTTTGGGTGGTGTGTGAGGGAGGTGCTGCCGGCTGTCTTCCCATGTCAGGCGATGTGACACAGCAGTGGGCAAAGTCTCCAGCGAGGGACAGCCTTCACCCCGTCCCCCTGCCCAGCATGGTGCAACCACTGCCACCCAGCCAAGCCAACAGCTTGGGTGCCAAAATGAACCCAAACCCCAGAGCCCAGCCTCGGTTCATCCCCTGCTGGCAGGCTTCCCCTTGAGCATCACTCCCGCCCTGCTCTTTGGGATGCAGAGCCATTGCCCTGCAGCTTGAAGGCAGCCGCAGAGGAAGGGTTGTGCTGAGCATCCTGTTAGAGCACAGCTTGGGCGCCTTCGGTTGCTCTTTGCTGGTGAGCAGGAAGGAGCACATGGGAAATACTTGGGTTTACACCTTCCTCCTCTGCTACCTGGCGCTGCTGTCGGCCATTTCCCCATGAAGCTGGCAGTGCAGAATGCCCCGATAGCACTGAGGATGAGCTCATCCTTTGGGGCTGAGGTTCACGCTCGGTTCAGAAGCCTTTACCTTTTATAAAACCCACAACCTTCCATTTCTTTAATATTATTTTTATATTCAATTATCGCATTTTTATGGCAGTTTAGAGAAAAGGATGAAAAGAAAACCCTTTCACGTCTCTCTAAATCCAAACCTGGTTTGCAGCTTGATATTTTCGGGCCCTTCTTAGATGTCTTTTACACTTTTAGTGGAAAGTACTGGAGATTTTACTGTCTCTTCCACTTGGGTGAAACAGGGGAGAAGGGAAATAATAATAATAATAATAATAACAATAATAATAATAATAAAAAGCAGCTTTATGTGAGCAAAAGA